ACTGCCGTCGGGACGGGAGCTGCGGCCAGAGCGCGGTGCGGGACGGTGCGAGGGCAGCCGAGGGAGGCGGGGAGCTGCTTAAACGGGGCAGCCGGGCTGGGCGTGTGTCCTTCTTGCCAGAAAAAAGAAACTCGCCCCTCCTCCCCTCCAGCCTCTTGCAGAAGGAGCTGCCGGCCTGCTGTCACAGAAGCAAAGGGCAGGCCTGTTCGTGTGTCAAAACAAGGAGAAAAACACACTCTTGACTTCCAGCATCTTTCCAGTCGCAGGTGCCATTAGCAGGGTTACCAGGGTCTTCCTTTTTTTTTGGTGTTTGTGGTGGCATTGCTAATTCTAGTAGAAATACACTCTATAACTGACTGATGCAGTGGAAAGTGGTGTATTTCTGTTGGCAGGGGCAAGTTGTAGCTGTTGCTTTTCAGTATCTTTCTAGTTTGGAGATACTGGAATGTTCTCCACTTACACATTTCATATACATGCTGAAATCACCCTGTACGTGGTTTACAACAGTATATGTTGTGTTCCATAATTGCTTCTTCTAGCATGATCAATAAGGTCTCGGTTAACCCAGTGTCTGCTGACTACAGCTGAAGACCTGCAAGTTTAGTTAAGGACTTTTCTGGGTCATGTGCTAGAAGTCAATGAAAGGAATTGTATGTTAGCCTTGTTTCCATTTCACTGTCAACATAAAGCCTTAAGCGTAAGCATAAGTCAGCGTGCGCTGTCATTAGTCAAATGAGAAATTGCATCTTTTTCATCTAGTGAAAATATATGCAAGCTGCTCTATTAGGAAGTCAGAACTTAAAAATACTTAGTTTGAACTGCACAACAGGAAGTGTGTTAGTGGTGTCAGTTAAAATAAGAGTTCCTTTAAGGGTATGCTTGTATTACAGAGGGATTCTGCCTGTAAGTTGGATAAGGGTGAGACTTAGTAGTATTGCACCCCATTGTAGTTTTTCAATTTAGATGGTGGCAGATGTCAGAAAACCTCTGACAAGGAGGGCAGGATAGTCTCTCTTTGCTTGAATGAGGTCCTAATCAGAGTGACATTGCTGGTGTTTCTAGAAGACAGCGTGCTTCATCTTGTCATTTTAACTGCTCTGGGCAGTCACAGAGTGGACAGCTGTAAAGTTGGAACAGACCATGGTGACATTATGTGTTAGTAGTGTATATGAACTATGTTGGACCTTTATTCGATGTGGAGCATCCTGTGCTTTTTTTGATCATGGAAACAGAATCTGTCTCGCCTTCTTCACTGCCATGGCCTTTGATAGGGTGTTCAGTGTGGCAGTAATATAAATCACACTTCAGCTTCAATACAGAGTATTTTTTGTGGATGTACCATGGGTGATCAGAACAAATGCTGGAGTTGTTATGGGGGGAGCAAAATGACAGGCAATAAAGGCCTGGAGTAGGCCTTCATCTGGTGGAGAGTAAGTCAAATATGATCGAGGATGGCTATCTATATTTTGGGCTATGTTAGCAAGGCCATAGCCATTAGATCAAGGAAGTATTTTTTACCCTCTTTTCAGCACTTTTGAGACCACAAGTCCAGTTTAGAGCCCCACAATACAAGAAAGATGCTGATGAACTGGAAGGGGTACAGAGAAGGGCACCAGCATTGTTAGGTGGCTGGAGCGTGTGGTGTCTGAGGCTGAGGAAACTGTGTGTGTTTAGCCTGAAGAAGAGAGGACCTAAAGAGGATCTTACCACTGCTCTTGATGAGTGGTTGTAGAGAGCAGGGAGTTAAACTCTTCTTGGCAAAGGGACAGGAGGCAACAGGCACAAATTGCAGTAAGGGGAATTCTAACGAGAATAAGGAAGAACAGTTTCACCATGAGGGTGTTCAAGCACTGGATTAGGGGCCCCGAGAAGCAGTGGGATCTCCATCCATGGAGATATTACAAACTGGACTGGACATGGCCCTGAGCAACCTTATCTAACTCCTTAGTTAGCAAGAGGTTGGACAAGTGCTGTCCAATGAATCTTTCCAATATAAATTATTCTATGATTCTCTTCAAGATGAGGAAACAACATTGTTCAGAGTAGAGTTGACTATCCCTAAGAGAAGGCAGTACTTTAGGTGTTGCCTCTGTGGTTGGCAGCAAAGAAGATGTTGGATTTTAATTTCTGTTGCAGGTTAGTGCATAGATATGCAAGTAAACTTACAAAACTGTGATGATTGCATTTGAGATATTGCATCTAACATTACAGCCAAAAGGACGAGTAATATTTTGCAAGGCTGACATCTGTGGGCAGGACTTAAAATTTACTTGATGTGGATTTTGTGTTTCAAGAAAGCCATAAACAATTAAAAATATAATAGATGGGAGAGTATAACTTTCAGTAATCTTTAAAGCTATATAATCACCTCTGGGTTTTGAAAAATGTTTCTGTGCCATAACCCATGCTCCATATTGTTCTCTAGCTAGTAGGTGGAACCCCTGGAGAAGTCCAGGCATAACAATCTGATAAAAATTGTTGTGTTGAATGCTACTCCTAAATCCTGCTTGGTCTCACAAGTTGTGTTTCTTGTGCTTGCCGTGGGTGTTTGCTGCCTGACAGGTTCTGGAGTTCGACTCTGGCAACTGGAATGAGAAAGAGCTTTGTCTTGCGCTCCCACACGCTCGCTCTCTCCTGTGCTCTCCCTCAAATTCACACCCCCAAACACATGTGCATGAAATCAGTGAAGTGCATGTCACTAATGCTATGTGCTTATACATCGCTGAAGATAAATCAGCTGCTCATCACATTGTCCTCAAGAACATGCTGAAGAGCAAAATGTTGTAAACCTGAATTAGTAGAACGGGCATGGATTGTGGGAGCAAAGTCCTTGTCACGAGATCAGCTTTCTTCTCATTAGTAGGAGTTACCTTGAGCAATGTGGGTAGAGGGCAATTTCAAAACAGAAGGAAGAGGAACATCCTTGCTCTGTCAGCATGGGAGGAAGAATTGAGACTGGGAAATAAGTGACATGAGCTCTGCTCTAGTACATGTTTCGACATCTCATAGCAAATGTGCAGTAAAACTGATATGCTTTGTAGTTTTTGTTGTCATTGGGGTTCTGATAGTATTAGCAAAATTATCTTCTGAATTTCAGTCACCTGTTGCTTGCAAAAACAGAGTAAGAGTAAAGGAGTGATAGACATATGTCTATCTAGGCATAGGAACTCTGCAATCACACATGCTGTAGGTCAAATTTTAATAAAAAAAAAACAAAACAAAACAACAACCCCAAGCTTAGATTCTTTCAGATATTATTGTTCTTAACCGGTTTCTCTCTACAAGCCTGCAGTATAGTTGCAACATGTTTTTTCTTCTTCGTCCTGACTAACAGTTACTTCAGGTCTTGACTAAAACTTTATTCTAGACTAGGATAACTTTTTTCCCCACAAGGTGTTGTGTTGTTCTAGAACTGTAGCTAAGATAGCTAGGCATACAGGTTGTCTCATGTTTGTAAGAAGAAGTAAATAGCAAGTTTTCCCCTAAATAGTACAAAGCTAAGAAAAAAGTGTTGCTCCAGAGTTACAGAAAGCCTGAAATATCAGCCCAGAGAGGTCTAGCCCTGAAACTTCTTAGGAGCTGGCATTGGAGAAAAGATTCTTATACACAGACACGGTAAAGCCAGAGCAGTTAAAACTTTTAGAGGACTTTTTGTGGTCCTTTTTGACTTGTCCTTTCTGCTGCCTCTCTGTGTTGTGCTCTGGGACTTGGCGTTTTGCTATCTGTAAATTTCCAGGTGCAGTTAAAGCTCTCTATGGGAGTGAGACTTGCTTCTTTGAGACCATCTTCTTCCCGAGTCATTGTATGCTTGTGCTTAGTGGAAGTGTTCAGCTGTTTTTTTTATAGAGCTGGATTTGACATTGTGCTGTTTCCTGTTGTAGTCGGTGCTTGGGACAAGGTTTTGAGTGTACCGTGTATTGTGTAGAACAATAAATTAGACTAATTAATACAGCTTTCTGAAAATTGAAACTACAGTATAAATTGGTATTGGTAACAGTATAAATGTTCTGGATCTGCATAAGTTGAACAGTTTTTAATGAGATAAAATCTTAGCCTGAGATTAAGTAATTGCACTATCTTTCTCAATTAGAATTGTCAGCATTTGTACTACACAAAAGAAAAGGACTGAAAAAATCAAGTAAAACTTTGCTGTATGAGACATTATGTTTCCAATAGGTGCTGCTGGGATGTGGGGTAAACGGTATATGAATAAAATGCATCAGAAAGGTTTTTTTGTATGATTAAACAGTATAGACAGGTCTGTCTTTTTTGAGGATTTATTCATCTGCCCCCTTTTTTTTTTTTAATTAAACAGGAGATGATAGGTGGAAATGAATCCTGTGCTGCAGGACCAATACCTATGTCCTACTTAACCTGCCTGACTTACATTCTGGGAGAATGGACTGGCGTGGAGCATATTGAAGATTATCTGAGTTATGCAGTCTACCTTTTCTGGGTGCTTTTTCCACTTGCAGTAGTTTTTCTACTTCCAGGAGTTCTCATCATCCTCTTCTACACTTCCATTCTCCTTCTTCATGTTTATAAAAGGAAGAATGAACTAAAGGAAGCTTATTCCAATGATTTTTGGGGTGGTGCAAAACAAATGTTGGCTACTCTATGGGATGGACATGGAAGAATATGGCATGGTAAGCGACATCTGACTTCTCATTAAAAATTGCTGAAGCTCTTATTCCTGGTTTACCTTTCAGGATTATCAATATAGATATGATTCTTGCTGCTGTGGCATGAGATCTAAAATTCAGGCCCATTTTTTTTCCATTTTATCAATGACTGACAGTGGTGCTTAGGAGAAAAAAAGCCATTGAGACTTTTTTGGATGTAAAACGTTTTGTCTTATGCATTTATTCCTTTGCTGCTACAAAATGAGATCTTGTACCCAGTTGAATGTAGACACAATTTTAAAATTTTTTTTTCTTTTTTACTTTTTATAACTACTCCTGGATTTCCTTGTTCCAGGAGGACCTGAAATGATTGTTATGTTAAAAATTAGATCAATTAACTGTATTATTTCAGAATCAATATGTGAACACTGGAAGTTAAATGCCAGTTCCCTGATAGCTAGTATGTCAGCACATGTTAGCATAATTTAATTGCACTTAACCAGTCTTCTACATATAATGCCAAATGATGGCTAAGAGGAGCACTTAGTGTCAGTTCGCTCGCTAGTTGCTTCTTCAAATTGACTTTAGAGCCCAAAACTGTTACAGAACCCTATTTTTTATTTTCTTTCTATGTATTTTTGGCAACTACTTTCTGCTAGAATGTCAAAACTAAGGGCTCTGTTCCTTGTCCTTTTACTATTATTTCTTTTATAAAGACAGACTTAATAAACGATTTGGCTTTTATTGCTAACGAAATGGTAAGCCTCTCTCAGAACCATTCAGTCTAGATGCAGCTAAAGGAAAAAGAGATGTTTAAGAGCAATTTACATAAAGAACAAATCCTTCTTGAAAATCATCTCTATTTGTTCTCTAGTCAAAGGGAAGCGGGTGTTCAAGGCATTGATAACCAGATGGTGCAGTGGCTATATCAGATAGGCTTTGTAAGACTAAGATGTAACTTTCAAATCTAGGAAAGTACACTAGATTGAAATCAACAGCTACATCAAAGAGCTTAAAATGCTCACTTCACAATAAAAAGCTATTTACTTTTTTTCATAAGAAAATGATTTTTAAGGCCTTGGCTCTTTTCATCTTTAGTAACTTTTTCTTTTTATAAGGTCTAACTTTTTATTTGTGCAGAAAAGATTCTTATCCAGTCCCTCATTCACAGTTGTGACTTTTTTCTGCCCTGGCAGCTGCTTCCATGTTCTCTGTACACTTGTCTTGCTAAAGAATGAAATGTTTTGTGATCATTTTTTTCCCCCACTTGATTAATCAATATATCATAGGAAGAACTTTTCACCCTGAAATCTTACAGCATCAGAAAAAAAACCAACCCAAAAACCAACCCCACAAACAGAAAGCCCCAAACCAAAACCCTTGTAACTTTGATACTTGTAACTTTACATATGTTATGCAAATGCTAGATGCAGGTATCATTCTGGTTATGATCAGCTGGCATGAAGCAGAGTTAGTGGTCACTTGGGATGCTACAGATGATATGCTTGCAATATGTTGCAGCCCCACAGGTATAGAAAGTAAAATAGAGGGAGAAGAGACAAGAGTACCTTCAGAATTTAAAAAAAAATTAATGAAATGGGAATTGCAGACCTGACTAACTTTGGAAGAAGTGACAGGCTTTGGGTTGGGGGTTTTTTGTTTGTTTTAAAAAAAAAAAAAAAAAGCAAACAAGATACTGTAACAGTACTGCTCAGTATTAACTGAATGTGTTCTATACTGATGTGTTTTGATATTTTGTGTTAACTGAATATATTCTGCACTGTTAACTTAATTAGAAATGTAAGTTCAGTAAGAAACTTGTGTGTGTTTATGTTTCAATTAAGCATATAAAACCCCAAATAGCTTTTAGTACTTTAGTACTTAATGATGGAAAAATGGAGCAAGTATAACTCTGAGGGAAATAACAAAGATGAGTTCCATACCCTGGAGTAAAAGGAGACATGTAAATGGATGTTGTCATGTCAAATCTTAAACGATTACTGGTGGCAATAAACTTTGAAAGGTGAATAATAGCTTGAAAGAATTGTGTTTCACCACCCCTATCCAATCCTTATTTTGATTTCTCTTGAATGATTCATTCAGAGGACTGTGCAGCCTTGAAGACAGTGAACAGAAAAAATAAGGAAAAATGATATCGTTCAAGACAGTGAGACTGGGTGTTTTGTTTTCAGTTTTTTTTGTTGTTCTTCTTTCTTTAAATGTGGCTCTTCTGCTTTAAATGAAACTTGTATTTCCTGTGGAAGCAACTTAGTAAATACTGCAAGTAACCTCTTGACTTTTTAGCAGTCACTTTGCTCTTACCACTTCTCAATAGCTATTGGTTTGTTTGCCAACTTGCCACAAGTTGGGATAGAATTGTATCAGACTTTGACATCTGTTATGCCTTTAACTCCTAACAGGTTATGAGCTTCATGGTGCCAAAAATATTCCTGAAGGACCAGGGCTTATTGTGTTTTATCATGGACCTACTCCTGCTGACTATGTCTATTTCATGGCTAGATTTTTTATACAGAGGAAGAGAATCTGCCACGTAGTAGCTGATCATTTCGTCTTTAGATTACCAGGTAAGATACTTCATTATAAACAATCAGTTTGAGAACTGTAATTTTTTATTTGTTACAGTGTAATTAATAAAAATTAATTAAAACACAGGAACACAGCTGTCAGAACAGACATTCAGACAAATTTAGTGAAAGCATTGAAGAACAGCTGTCTCTAACATGTTCTTTACAAACCAGAATGAGTTTATGAGACTGGCCCATGCAAGGATGGGTCAGACTGCTGGGTGGGCAACACATTCTGATGACTCTAGGGTGTTCAGAAACAAAGAGAAGGAGATCATAGGAGAAACAGTTGTCTCTTTACTGGGTAGCAAAGACTTCAATAAGATGTTTCTTTTTTTATTACTATAGGCAGAATGAGTGGTGTAACCTGACTACGAAATAAACTGGAAGCAATGCCCTTAAAGTTGATAATATTAGTCTGGGGAGACAATATATGTTCGTATCCCACCCAGTTGAGTATGGTGGGCAGTGGAGCCTGTCCCCAGGAAGACTGTTTCAAGTAGAATCTGTTTTGAAGGAAAGCTGTAAAAGTGTACAACAAGTTTGTGTGAAACACGAGGTGAAGCATGAAGCAAATTCAAAATATGTTTAGGGCAAGATTTTGGCTGTACAGCCTAGTGAAAAACACTGCTGACTGGTGACATTATTTATGTGAGGGGTTTGGTTTTTGTGTGCGTGAAATACAGTAGTACCCAGTTCTTTTTCCAAGTTCAGCTTGTGACTAAAAACCTCGTAATTCATTTTGTGGATTTACAGGAGTGTTTTGTAGTGTACTGATGCTTTTAGTGGAAACAACTCATAGCACAAAACTGTCCTTTTGCCAGTATAGTTTTATTTCAACCTTAATCCCTGAAAACTGAACTTTTTCATACTGATAACAGCATGGCTTTGCCTCTACAACCGCTTTTGCCAACTGACTAGGATTTGTCAGTTGATTGCTTTAGCATACAGCTGACTAACGTAACCTATTTTGTAATTTAGATTTGGCTCCATATTATATCTTTTAATACTTATGCAGAGTTGTTTATCAGATGGGACATTATTTTGTTTTTCTCCATTTCTGCTTTAAAATAAGTTTCTAAGTATGAGTATAGTTACGAGTCCCCCAGATATCATTTAGTAGCATCGCAGAGACATCTGGCTGGATG